GTCTATACCTGGTTGATTGAATGATTTACTCCTACGGCTGGTTCTGAGACCTCAGCTCTCAGCCCTCTATTTCCAACTTAGTAGAGAGGTTCCTCCTTCTGTCACCCCTCATGTACCCTAGGATCCCTCCATTTAGGATAAGACAATCCCATAACAGATCATTGTGAACTCTTGCATTCCCCTTTCAACTATCCCAACGACCTCCTAACCTTTCATGATCTGGGTAGTTTGTAGGGTCTCTAATATCCTCTTTCTAGCTCCGTGTTGACTTAGTATTCAATTCACGCATTGTTGAGAAGTGGTTCTCTATTCGTACTGCCATTTACTGGCTAACTGTGATTCCCTCTCACATTCCATATCTTTCTTACTTATTGACTCCCCACTGTCTTCTACCAGCTATGATTTAGACTTCGAGGTACTTTCCCCCATGTCTCGTCTAACGATGGTTGTACTGAGACCATAACTTATCCTCTACATCATTTACCTCGTTGCTTGTCTTGTTCCTTCTAACGGCTTGTCATCGGCCTAACCCCCAGGGTCATGTACCCTCTTCTCTAGTGACGTAGTTTATTTACAAGGGTTCCTTTATCGTCATTATGTAAACGACCATACCTCCTCTCCACCTTGACCTTTTGACTTCTTGACGTCCTTTCATACTCCCTGCAACCTACTTATTTCCTCCTTTAGTTCATTTATACTACTCTAGCTTTTCTTGAAGTCTAAGCTTCCTGCTGCTCCTTGTCACGGTGTTGTAATAGCGTTGACCACTAAAACTAGGTTAGGGACTTCTCGTGGTACCTCTTTGTTTCTTGACTCGCCACTGCTTAGGGTCAGGGACCTGAAATCCTCCAATTATCATAGCTACTGGCATCTGGTGATTGTTCCTCTTCCTTTGGAGATTCATATTTCTCCCCTTTGTTTGTCTTAGCTTATTAGATTATCCACTTGTTTCCTAGTAGTAAAATCCTCGTACTGCTCTCTCAACTCCTTCAAAATCCTTGAGGTATTCCCTTTCAATTGGCACCTCTTTGCCGGTGTTTGGAGTTGTAGTCCTCGCACATTTGATTCTACCTCCACAGACCTTTGCAACGTTCCTCCTTCCTTCTCTAGGTTGATGATGATGATCTGTTTGCTAATGTCCGAGTAAATGGTTAACTAATTGAAAAAACTACTATCCATCATGTCGATGAGATACTTGGTCTTGAGAGCCTTTGAGATTCTACTTGGGCTGGTCACGTCTCTTTCATCCTTTCTTTCTTACTGGCGATCACCAAATGCCTAAATCTCTCATTTGACAAACCATGACATGTTAACCAAATCATGTCCCAGCCTATTCTTAAACAATCGCACCCTGGGCTACCATCCCTTCGTGCCGTGCTGTTATAGTTATTCACCTTCATATGATTAGAGTAGACTGGAGATCCTATAAACTCCAAAAAGAATATCCTTGACTCGTTTTCCCTTTCCTTTAAAACAAAAGCCTTTAAAACTGAGACCGATATTCCAGTATTCCTTGGAGACCAAGGAACACAGGAAGACCGGCTCTGATACCAAAATGAAACACCTTAACCCGGCTGGGTACTACTTTTCCTAAAATGTCATTGATAAATAAAATACACAAATCTTAAATTGCAACTAGGAAAAATTTTCATAAATAAAATACTGAAAACACACACTTTTACTAGCAAAGCCCTAACATGTGGGCAAATTAAACTCAAACTTTAAATTCTCAATCTAATCTCCAGTCTATACTCATAATCATAAATGTAAATAACTAATAATCTCTAATGTTGATGCTACTAAAAACCCTGACTACGCATCCTCCGTGACGCTTATACTGCTCTCCTTTAGCTGACGGCCCTCGAACTCGCTGCTCACTAACTGCTCCTTTAGCTCCTCTAGCTCTTCAAACTGGTGAGTGAGATGGGGTCAGTCTACGCCCTTACGTTTTATTAATTCTAATACTTGAGTACTCTATTTAACCACTTAACTTTGACTAGTGGAAGTTGTTTGTACTTCCACTCTTAAAATCTTAACTCTTAACCTTTGAGGGAGTTGAAGTTACTCTCCTCTCTTAAAGCTCAAATCTTGACTTAAAAACTTGACTGACACGGGGATCCCTCACTAGCTAGTCCAGTTGCCAACTCATATGTATGAGAAGCCATTCAGGCTTTCCTTAAACTTAAACTTAGTTAGGGAAGTCGTAACGATTCATCCCCCTAACATCTTAAACTTATCGTGGTGGCTCTTCACCACGATTCTCAAGAGCATAACTGCTGCTCATCTTAAAAGTCTCAAGAGCATAACTGCTGCTCTATCTGAAAATCTCAAATGGCAACGGACTGGCGCTAGTGACTAAACACTTAAAACGACTTCACCTTCTTGAAGGTGAGTTACTTCTTTAAAAAGAACTTGACTCTTAATCTTAACGAGAACTTAAAACATCACGCTTTAAGGTAAATGGCACATAATCACCTCAAATCATTTCTCAGGCAAGGCAAAAATAATCAATCACACACATAATCAAATAACGGTAACCAATTCGCTAAAATACTTAAAATCATAATACTGAAAGGAATACGTAAGGCGTAGAATTGACCCCCTTTACACTCACCTTTCCTCCGTTCGTAACTGGCTCTGATTTTGCTCCACTTGCTTCCAACTTGTTACACTCGTACTTGGCACAATTGGAATTAAATGGACCAGTTTGCTAGCAAGCTGCTCTTTCCGCCCCGTTGGCTACTTCTCCTTGTATGCCTCTACTTCCCAATTGGAGCAGCTTGCTTCTTTTATCTGGACCAGCTTGCTTCTTTTTATATGGACCAGCAGGCTAGCAGCACTTTGCTGACTTCTGCTAGCTTTAATAGACCAGCTTGCTTAAGCTGGTACCTCTCGTGGTGGAGAGGGCAAAACATCAAAGTAGCGCATCTTCTTTATATTGGACCAACTTAAGCTAGCACATCTCATAGTAGAGAGTCCGGCCTAAGCCAGCCTCCTGCCTTCCTTCTTTATTGTGGACTAGCTTGGTTACTACGACAGGCCAGATTTGCCAAACAACGAGGAGGCTGTTTGGCTTCCCTACCGAGTGCAACCCATCCTGCCTGCTTCCCCCTATTGGACCGTCCCTGGCGCCGATTTTGGAGAGCAAGCCACATCAAGATTCGCCCCGGATTACTGACGATGGCCAGGAGCTTGCTTGAGCACAGAGCTCTCGTAGTAGGAAGAGTGATCCGCCGCTTTGCTTTACCGGAGAATTGTCTTAGAGCTTGGTTAACCACACAACTCTCGTAGTAGGGAGCGATGGCACCGCTAGGGTTTAACATCCCACGTCCGCAGATTTGCCATCGATGGAGAAATGTAAAGTCTACTTTATTAGGGTTGATGGCGAGTAGAGTCCAGATAGTCAGAGGGTATTTTTGAAATTTCACAGTTACGGGTGAGTTTAATCCGAAACTCAATTAACATCCATAATTTTCTCACTTCATGTCGAAACTCGACCTCGTTTGAACTATTAGTTCACATTTTTAATCCTCATCGACGATACGGCGGAACTTGACCCAGGGGTATAATAGTCATTTTGACTTTTGGGAAGAGCGGGGTGTAACAATGTTTCCCTTGCAGCCTACAAGTCTAAAAGCAAGTCGCAGAGAGTAGGTTCAAAGACTTTTACTTCTGTTGCCAGCTCCGAAGCAATCATGTCATACACAGCCCAACCAGGGTCTTCTTTGGAATTCCCTTGAACCAGTTCCCCAATTGCTCTACCACAGCTTCGCCAATTGCTCTGGCTCCTACCCTTCTACCCTACCAAACTAGAACTTGCGCTCTTCTTAGAACCTGGCTAAGTGATCATCATTCTCTATCATTTCCTACCACTACAAAGCATATCCCTCCAATTAGAAGGACGCGAGATGCCCCTTCCTCTCTTCATTGATGGGGCGATTCTTAAGCTAGCTCGTTGTTGAATCCAACCATAATCTAATAGCTACATTGCCATCAGATTTGGGAAACTCTATGAACGGTGTCATGACCCTAAATATTAGATAATCATCACCATCATAGATAGGGCTATAGCCACCATACTTGTCAATGTCGTAGTGCCAATACCCCGCATCACCTTCATTTTCATGCCCTCTGCCTTGCAGTTGTTGGTGTGGGAGTGCCCAGTCATCCTCCTCCTCCATGTACTCTCCAAAGCGTTGCGACCTCGTTCCCGATCTTTGCCCCACCTTTAGAGCTCGCCCTAAGCGAAAGCCATCAACCCGGGGTGTCACATGGGTTTGAATACTGAATCTGCGACCTTGATACAGCTTCCCTAGATTTGCAGTCACTCTCCACTGCTATTGTCTGTCGTTTTTCAGGAGGGGGTCGATAAGTTTGAGTTCGATATGATCGATCTGGTTTGGTACAAACCCGCTTGTCTGATTCGGGTAGAAGACCCAGCCCGGCTCTTTGTCGGGTGGGCCTAAATCGGCCCAAAATACCCCATGGCCCACAAGGCTCAACTCATCTTCCTCCATTTAACGATTTGGGACCAGCCGAGCCAAACTCATTTGACCCATCTACTTCACCTAACCATATTCACTAGACAACCTTAATGACCCGAACCCACCTTCGAATCCAATGGACTCATATCTTGCTAGTTTGGCCTTGTCACGGACCACAACAATCTCATGGGTTGTCCAGGTAGACACCAGAGCTACAATAACCAGTAGGTCGTCCAAGCCTTCTCCCGCACACAGCGGCGGATCCAAGACTGGGGAGAGCATTGGGCCACATTTTGTAAAGAGGCAGAGTCGTTTGGGCCTTAGCTCGATGAACACTTAAACGATTACCGAAAATAAAAAATTTACAAGTGATATAATAGCTTTGATCTAGAGGATGGTTGGGCCGCGGCCCGGGGGCGGTCCCCTGGATCCGCCGCTACCTGCACATCTCCCTACCCCACCATTCCGCTATTCCAGCTACCCGTCTTCGTCGCCATCGTTGAGACACTGGATACCTCATTTTCCATTGTTATCTCCTTCCCAGATAATGTGGTTACGTCCTTGGACTCTATCACCGGCTCCTCCAAAGCGTGCAGAGTTTCCTTTGCTGCCTAGGTCTACTATGGCGCATCTCTTAGCTCCTGGAACTTCTCCATCATCTCCAACATCGATTTTTAGAACTCCTTCAAGCCCATGTTGTTCCTCTACTTTGTCTCCTGCAGAGTCTCCACTCTCTCCCATGCGAACGTTTGGATCAAATTGATTGTTTTCCATTCTTCTTAGCAACAAAACCGTTCATCACACTTGGTCATATCCTCAACCTCCACTACTTCCTTCTGCATTTTGTCAGCAGAATAAGACATCTTGTTTGCACCCAAATTCCAACCAAGTTCTCGTGCTAGTATAAGAACTATGGATCTAGACGTCTTCATATACGGTTCCTATAACATAAAATAGTAACAGATAATAGGCAAGTTGTAGATTAAGGATTATAATTAATAGAATTGTGATAGCTTGACGGAAGAACTATGAAAAGGAAGAAGTGCAATTTGCTAGATTTCAACTATGGGATTTAGTACCCAGACCAATTGACATAATTGTTATCGGTACAAAATGGGTGCTTAGGAATAAAACTGATGAATTGGGTCAAGTCACTAAAAATAAGGCTAGACTAGTTGCACAAGGATATTCCCAAGAAGAAGGAATCGACTTTGATGAAACATTTTCCCTTGTGGCTAGCATTGAATCCATAAGATTGTTGTGTGCTTATGCCTGTTATATGAAAATTCCTCTATTTCAAATGGATGTCAAAAGTGCTTTTCTTAATGGTGATATTAAGGAAGAAGTGTATGTTAGTCAACCTCCTGGATTCATTGATCATCAATATTCTAATCACGTTTACAAACTATCAAAAGCTTTATATGGACTAAAGCAAGCTCGTAGAGCTTGGTTTGAAAAACTTTCCTCCTTTTTTGTAAAAAGAAAACTTATCTTGAGGAAGTGTCGATAAAACCTTGTTTATCAAAAGGCGCAATTCTGATATACTGCTAGTACAAGTTTACGTAGATGACATAGTTTTTGGTTCAACTAATCCTTCTATGTGTACTAAGTTTTGTGATGATCAAACTTTCATACTTCCTTGGGCTTCAAATTAAACAAACTAATTCTGGAATTTTCATTTCACAAACTAACTAAATACATTGAGTCCATACTTAAGAAAATTTGATATGCAATCAGTTAGCTCTAGTCCAACTCCTATGATCACTAATCTCAAGCGGGATAGGGATGAAAATGGGGCTCCTTTCTGTGAAAAGAAATACAGAGGGATGATAGGCTCTCTACTTTATCTAATAGCTAGCCGCCCTGATAGACAATTTAGTGTTGGACTGTGTGCAAGATTTCAATCTAATCTAAAGGAAAGTCATTCGAAAGTCGTAAAAAGAATTTTAGATATCTAAAAGGAACCATTGATGTAGGTTTATGGTATCCATTAACTGACTCTTTTGAGTAAATAGGATATAGTGATTCAGATTTTGGAGGAAGTCTAATTGATAGGAAAAGTACCTCCACAACAATACAATTCTTAGGTACTGCACTTGTTTCATGGTTCAGCAAGAAACAACGAGCAGTTGCACTCTCTACAGCTAAATCCGAGTATATGGCTGCTGGTAGTTGTTGTGCTCAACTCATGTGGATGAAAGCTTACCTTTTGGATTATGGTTTTATCCTTCAAAACATCCCTGTTTGTTGTGATAACACTAGTACCATATGTATGACAAAAAATCCAGTACAACATTCTAGGACAAAACATATCGAAATAAAATATCACTTTATTCGAGACCTTGTTTAGGCAGGTCATGTTTGCTTACAATTTGTGCCCACAGATTTTCAGCTAGCCGACCTATTTACTAAACCTCTCTCATGTGAAAGGTTTCTACAGCTATGCACAGAAATTGGTTTGAAATCATTCAGCCAAATTTCAAATCTAACAAAATAAAGATCGCTGGGGTAATCTTGCTCTAGGCTTATTATCTGTCTCGAACTGTAAAATTTTACTTTTCTGATCGTGCTATCTGTTTTCCAAGATCTTTCTCAGAAAACTCTTCTCTTAGTGGTCAAGCTCTTCTTCTATGTCTGCTGCACCCTTCAGCTTCTTTCTCTCTCTTTCTCCTTCTTCCCTATTTAACGAGACATCATCTTCTCTATTTCCTCACTCTCTACTACCTCACCAGCGTCATGAGTTATTATCTTCTTAGACCTTTTCATTTTGATAGCTTTGTTCACACTTACCCTGTTTACATGTTTCATGAACAGGAGGTTATCAACCACCATCGCCACCTTCAGTATTTTGAAAGCAGAAGTCTCCACCATGTCACCCAACTGGATCCCTACGAATTTAACCTCTAAAAATTTGATATCATGTCACTCATCGAAGGTCTTGGGTGGGTGACTCGCTCTTACTATCACTCTAGAAAATGGCCAAGTGCAACCACCTCCTAAAGCGTAGTATAGCGGGTTTGGGTTCTAATGTCAACCCGGGTCCTAGATGTGATGACTACTCCGTGAGTTCTTATTATTTAGCAGTGAACTTTTAGTGAAGGTCCAAACAAGCAAACAAGCAAAGCAAGTAAAAAAGGTTGTTTTCCAGTCGAGAGAGGTCACTTGGATATGGTTCCCCCTAGACTGCAGTTAAGCCGGATTGTAATTTACCAAGTTCAAGTTCAGTGATAGTTATACTACGGGAGGTTCTTAAATAGTCTGAAGTCTCGACTAAAGGTCTCCAGACCCTCTCAATCTGAGTCTCCAGCGGGCGACTAATCTCCACCGGAGTAAACAGATTGAGGCCCTAACGAACCAAACCTCCACTACCGAAGTGAATTCGGTACAGAATAGTGAATTGACTCATCGACTAAAGTCGTCAATTCACTACCTTCAATCAAGGGTGCTCTATCAACCTAGGCAGATATTCTCTTTCTAGGTCAAAGCAGAAACAACAGGAATTTGATCAGGATTCATGCCATTCAACAAATCAAACCTCAATTGAATATAATCATATCACAGAATCTGTACTTGGGTTCATACAATCAGACCTAACATACAAATCTAGGGTTCTTCATACCCAGGTGAATAAGAAAACTACTCCATAGAGAGAGATGGGAAATCTAGCTCAGATGCGGAAACCATACTGTGAAGGATGATAATCTGCGTATGGCACTCAATCAGGTCTTCTCCAAGCTCAAGCCGGGCTGCAATGGTAATGGAGATCGATCTATGACACTTGCAGGATCAGTTTCGTCACTTTCTCTCTCTAGGTATCACTCTTTCTCTCTAAAACTTGGAACCCTTCTCTTTTGGCTGAAAGTTGGGTTAAAACCCAGAAATTCCCGTCTCACACGACCAGGCCACACGGCCGTGTGACTTCCCCAGCTGCCCGTGTGGCTTTGCAAAACGCGGCGTTTTGTTAAGTGACTTCAGGCTTCCTACACGGTCAGACCTACACGGCCGTGTGGATTTCCAGGATGCCCGTGTGAGTTCCCTGGAATTTCCACACGGCCACAAGGGGTCCCCTACACGGCTCGTGTGAGTTTGCCCGTGCATTTTGATGTCACATGGCCAGGTCACACGGCCGTGTAGGTTTTAGGCGTGCCCGTGTGGCTCCATCAACTTCCCGCCAAATGTCCAATCTTCGTCCAATCAACCCTGAACTCGTTCCAAGCCTTCATTCACGTACTAGGACCTGAAATATCACAAACAAGAACAACCTAGCGTGAAATCGGCCTAAAACGCAAGAATCGACATCTTAAACGGCTCAAGAATAGGGGTAAAAACATGTGTAATCAATGGTCTATCAAACTCCCCCACACTTAACCGTTTGCTTGTCCCCAAGCAAACCTAACTCAAACCAATGCAACTCTCCAGACCTCTATAGCAACAAACAACCCCGATCGTCGGTAGAGGATTTTCTAGATCATATAGCAGCTTACGAGGTCAGCTGGTCTTCTAAGACGTTCCCTATCTCTCTCAATGCGAGTACTAGACTCAAGCCAGGATCATGAGAAGAAGTGGAAGTAAGACAGCCAGTTCATGGATAAGGGGACTCAAACCATTCATAACCAAGGACTCGTTGTACCGGGGTGGTCTTTCACTTCATTTCACCGTTGGAACCTCTTTTTCACTTTCATTTTACTGTTTTTTTTTTCCTTGTTTTTCATTCACTTAGTGGGGGTTCCAACTGCAGTCTTTCGCACGGTCGACCCTTATTAGTCGAGCAAGAGCCATTTCTGTACATCTAGTGCTCGCCAGAGTACTTCTTTTAACTCTTTTTCCTCAACTCGTGTGGAGGGTCAATGAAATTAGGGGGGTCAGAAGCTCTATCCGTGCCCTTAAAAACACATCCTCGAGTAGGCAAACCGTTCAACGGGTGGAAGTTTTACTTGTACTACAGACAACTTAGCTTCACCTTGTAGGAGTACCCCACTAAGGATCACTAAAATCTCTTCCAAAACCCGATTTTGTGCAATGAACGGTGCCGCACACGTTTGGCTTACCCCATGTTTAAGATTTAATGATTTTGACATGGAGGACCAACTGCATTTCATTTTTCACATGAGCACCCTGTTCGATACACGAGTCCATAACACAATCCAAATACAGTCACCATTATCACATGAATTCAATGGTCCTAGCTCCACTAATTCACAAAATAACCTGTCACAGCAGAGAGCTAGATAGGAAAAATCTTATACTTCAACATCCTCCATAGTGCTACACTACCTCCCTAGGTTGCACATTACTATAGAGACTGTCAATTCAAAGCATACTGAGCAGGCAATTTGCAAGGAAACACGTACTTGGAGCCCTCAAATTTAAAAATTTGGACAGTGGACTAGGCTCCAAGCACACAAACAGATCTACTGCAGTCAAAAGAGAAACATCCCCCCACACTTAAGATCGACATTGCCCTCAATGGAGAAGAGGGAAGGATAAGGGAACGATGTTACCGGTGTGCACGGACTGCATGAGACTGGAAGCGGACCAGACTGAGTGAAGCGGACTGGAGAGGGGACCAGTCAGGGACAAAGCACAGCTAAAGGGAACAGAAGAACTCAAACACAATATGTTAGGTCCAATGGTCAGCCCAATAATACATCATCCAAAACAAAAGAAAACAAACCAAAACCAAACCAGTTTACAATCTGACCCAAAACAAAAGAAATAAATGTAAACCGTGGTAGGGTTGC